TTTGAAGATTAATTTCTACAGTTTTTAAGTAAAAGTTTCATTAGAAGTCTTTATAAAGAATTATCGCTTCCCTATGGGATCGATACTTTGGTTTTTATAGAAAACTCTATATTTTTTTAAACGATACGTATACTTGCGTAGTACCCCTAGTGTGAAAACTATTATTCTAAATGATATAAAATTTCTCTTGTTCACACTAGCCACTAAATATAAATTATGTCAAGTTTTTAGCTATCTTTTAGAATATAAAAATCTGCGTATTTGCAACAATTGACACCTCAGATGTATCTTCTTTAATATTTTAAAGGTAAGGTAGTAGGTAGGAGCATCAGGTGACAGTTAGCATGGAATCCAGGTTTTTTGAAGATACTTCAAGATACAAGGTGGTGCTTTAAGCGATAGTCAATGTGACGGGTGCACTGACAATTGTGTGAAGACCTGCTTTGATTGCCTAAATATGATATTTTTTGTGTTTCAGGATCCTTTTCTTTTCTCCTTATGGGATAAAATTTCTCCTATAATATGGAGGATTTCTTCAATATGGGATTCTTCTTGCTTTACGATATTTCCAAATATCTTGTGGAATCGAGCTACACAGGATTTTCTCCTTTTAATGGTTTGTATTTTGACAGAGGTAGAGGTAATTCGCAATGTTGTGGATATTTTCTTCAAATGTGCTTTAAAGATTAAATGAAACCTAGTTCCTCTCGGAAAATGAAAGGTTTAAGGTTCAACATCATCCATCTCTTTTATTTTTCATGTGACTCGTTACGAAGCCTCCTATTGTGATTTTATCCTTGTATCTTAGTTAACACCAGAGTGACTTCATAAGATGGACTAATCTTGAAGATTATTGATGTCTTAATTAGTTCACATGTCAAATCAAGAAAATTTTTTATTTTTCGTTTCTAAGGACACTGAAGAACAACATGACTGTCATAACTGGTAATCTTAATAGCTTTCTTTTTCAATGTGCGAAAATCCTCTTCCAATTCAATGTTAAAGTGAGGAAAAATTTCATTTTCAATAATTTGAAAGTCAAATGTGGAAAAGATAAAATTTTCAAGACCTGTTTCAAACTTTATTAGGAACCCACCGTTTAGATGATTGGGTTAAAAGCTAGCTTACTTCAATTTCCAAGGGAGAAAATGAGTTTGGGAGACATATTGCTTGTAATGGGTACACAAAAGATATCAATAGAGAGTCAACTGTAGAATCTTTAAAAAAATATTTTGAATGAAACTGAGATTTGAGTTAATTTAAAAAAGCTCTATAAGAGGAGAATTGGTGATGTTAAAATCCTTAATTTTTAAAAAATTTGCTTAAATGAGCAGGCAAAAACATGAAATTAAAGATACGGGACAGGAACCAAAGATTTAAATAAATTTTATGGACCCATAAAAAATCTAACATAAGTATATAAAATTTAACTCATTACAAAAGATGGGGAGAGGAACAATTCCCCAGTGGAGTCGCAAGGAAAAAACCTTGGTGAGGGTTTTTTGTGTGTTATCGCACAACATAGAACTTTTTGAAGACTTCTATCTAGATGACCGGGCTTGAATTTTTGAATAATAACATATTTTCCCGAAGAAAGAAAATATTTCCTTAAAAATATGTCTGACCATCTAAATGATGAAAGCCTTTATAGGTCTATAGAACTAGGGTATTTTCCTTCCTTATGTAAGATAAGGTTTATTTTAATTATGGGGTCTCATTCCCTACAAGGGTAAGCCCTCATAGTTAGTTACACCTTTAAAGCTGTGAACCCTATAGAAAATAATAAAATGAATCAAATCATCTAAGGACAAATTTTCACAATTGAAGTGGTTGCGGATAAGGAAAGAATCCAAATTAGAAGAATTATGCTTAGAACAATGGTACTTATAGTCTGATGATACAATGTCATGGGAAAGGCTTGAATGTGGGGATCTAACCAGTCGAGTAAGGAAGTTTAAAGTAATGAAAAATATATAATGAACAGATAGTGAATTTGCATGGATTGGATATAGTCAAAAGTTAACTTAGAAATACTGAATTTGATTAACTGAAAATACTTAAATCCCTAAGCTACATATAGAGTCCAGTGAGAAGGATTTTGAGATGAGAATAAAAAACATTGTAAACTCTACAAGGAATTTTAAGGGGTGGACAAACTTAGACTATCAGAATCATGTCCACAGTCAAGGTGCTCATGGCTTTCCAACATCCCTACGACATTGATATCCATTAACTATACCATACCACCTAACCAGGAATCCCTTTTGAACGCCGTAGCATAAAAAATTCTTAGTTTCAAGGCAGTCTGAAATATCTTCATCAATAACTAGGGGTTACATCATTTTAAGGTATTCCCTCTAATCGCAGGGGATATGTTTATTTATTGTGTATGTCCTATTCCTTAGCATTTACTAGGTCACCTATCAAACTAACCTAGGTTTGTATACTTAGATTAACATATGATAAGTCTATGAACATCAGTTTGGTGTTTTAGTTAGCTAACCTAAGGATTGTGTTAGATCTATCAAGATTTTATTTTTGTTCTTTATCTTGGTATATTTTAAATGTTAATTGAGATCAATATTTAATTCATATTTTATTTCAATTCCTAGTTAGTCCGTGTGAGAAATTAAAATTTTCTTAAGTTTTTTATTTTATTTTTTTTTAGGATTTGATTTTGATGTTTGTAGAAAAAATCATATTATCAGATGTTTTCATTTACTTATTGTTCTCTCTCTCTTTATATATATAT